TGTGATAGCACTGAAAGCTGAAAATTGGCCTGGACAGGAAGGGGGTGAAAGTGTTTGGACTTGAAGTGGTTAAGTTAACAACACCCCAAAATTGGTCCGCAAAACAAGGTGCGATGTGCAGAATCGGATTGCATGGGTGTGAAAACCCATGCGATCCAATTCTGGTGCAGACCAAAAAAAGTGTCCTGCACCTTTTTGGTCCGAATACGGTGTGATTTGAGCCAAACAAAACGCATGGCTTAAATCGGACCAATTTGCATGTGATTTGCACAGGAATACGGTGAGGTTCCTGTGCGAATCACAAGTGTGAACTCAGGCTCAAGCTGATTGGTTTCTGTGCACATCTTCACATCTTCATCAGATTTCGCACCTTCCAGTTTTAGTAAATCAACCCTTAAGTTCCCGTGAGTGTAGGGTATGTATGTGCATGTAAGCTATTGCCCTACATACAGTATACTGGGTATCGCCGCACATGCAGTGAGAAGTTGAACAACAATTTTACAAATAAATTGTGGAATGAATTGGTGTTTGGGTGTACTAAGATTATTTTTAGTATATTTTTTCCTGAATATAAACAGTTGTTCAACACATTGTGGGACATATAAATTGGAAATACCACCATTTTATTCTACAGTGTCTCTGATTTCAGAAAATACAATGTTCTGAGGGTTTTAAATAATTTCATAGCCAAAAAAATGCTGATTTTTAACATGTATGAAAAAAAAAGAAAAATTTGCTCTGGAGGGGAAGTGGTTAATGGGCACAGTCACCCATGTCATTGTTTAGTGTTATCTGTAGCTTTGTAACCTTTGCTCCTGCAGATTTCTTTGAAAGAGTTCCTGGCAGCAAGTTTTAATTCACGGAGTGGAACCAGAAGTTCAATTGTACTAACAGCAAAACATTTTTTTTTTTTTATTTTGGATAGAATACTGGAAAATTTAAACTGTTGACATTTTCATTTTGTTGGCCATCTGTGTCTCATTAGGAAGTCAGAGGATATCTTGCCAATGTGAGGGAAATCCACACTTTGAAATGTATCACAGGAACAAATATTCCCATTGCAGAATCTCCCTTTGATTCCAGTTCTGGTTACAACTCTTGGATTTACTCTCATTTTCATTCCTGGTGACATTGGTGATCAGGACAACTAGAGAAAGCAAACGTCCCTAACAAAGGATGGAGCCACTGTTCACATATATGTAAATTGGATGCATTTTGAGCCGTATCGGATACGCATGACATGTGAACCAAACTGTCTCTCTATGGAGCTGGTTCACATATGTGCAGGCTGGCTGCAGTGCGAATTTAACCCCCCTGGCGGTATTCCCGAGTGTAGCTCGTGGGTAACTTTCAGTACTAGAAGCAGTAACCCCGAGCTACACTCGGGAATACACTGAAGCGCTTTTCCAGCAATCCCTGCAGCACTTACCTTGTCCTGCGCTCTCGCAATGTCCTCCCTGCAGCATCCCTGGCCATGTCCTCCGGCCGATGCCGGGGCATCCGTATTCCGGGTTTCATTCCCTGCGAGCGTTGGGACGTATGGGGGATGGAACCGGTGGGAAAGTAAAAAAATTAAAAAATTTGACATTCACTAAATACACTAAAATCTGATAGTAGTACATTACTGTATCAAACCATTTCACATACATTTTGTCCCTAGTGCTTTGTCCTGTGCCCTGCCTGCATTTTTACTGTTCTTTCTGCCTGGGAACTGAGAAACGTCCATGGTGTCCAAAAAGTGTCCCTTTAGGTCAAAAGCGGATTTTAGATCAGCTAGAGAACAGCGATAGTAAATTAGAACCACTTGCAGAATTGAGTGATAATGATTCGTAGGGAAGTTCATCATCAGACACTGAAAAAGATTTTGCGACTGAACTCAGAGATGTGCAAACTTGGCGCTATATTTCAAATTTCAGTGTTTTTGGTTTGATTACATTATTGAATCAAATTTATTATTGTTATACTATTATTTTTTATGATTATATATTATATTATAATTTATGATTTCGTGTTTCAAATTTTATCATACCCGGGATGTTTACTAGACTCTTGTTCGGACAGATTTCAGTGAGTTATTCCTAAGAATTACAGGCCTACAATAAAAAAACAACATATTTCCATTGAAAATAATGTACCGCTTTGAGCACAGAAATATTGACATAATCAGACCGCTAGGGAGGTTAAAAAGAGTCAGGTACGATTTTCAGGTTGGTCCAGGCGCAATTTCCAATGTCATACACTTTAACAATTTGCACCTAATTCACACCTGAACTGCTCAACAGGCTTGCCACTGAAACTGACCCCATACATTTGTGAACCCGGGCTCAGAATGCAGTAAAAACCTGACAGCCATTCTAACACTACACAACTGTAGTCAAATTTAAAAGTAAATATTTCCTTTTGTTATGCTTTTGTAGCCCCCTCTTAGTGTAGGATACTAGGAACATTTTGGTTTTGGCTCCTTCTGTAGTCAAGGGAGCAGTGATTGTTTGTTCTGGTCTGTTCAGGGTTTCACAGGCTGGGAGTTTGATGCTTCCCCCTGCCTCTGGAAGAAAATTTCAGAATTAAAGGAGGGAGATTCAAGGGGCCAGTCTGAATATTTATCATGCCCTGGCCAATCCCTGGAGAAGAGTGACCTAAAGGTGGGTGGAGAGGCAGAGGCAGTCCTGGGGACCTGGAATGATATGGAACTAGCTGTAGGACTTCACTATAAGGAATCTGGTCTGGAGGATGATTGTCTCCTTCAGTGGACTGTGTCTGGACGAAGCTGGAAGGTGTGTAGCTGTCCTATGGATTTGTGAGTACTGACCCTGAATTGATTTCTGCTAACTGTGCCAGAGGTAGCTTGGACTGAGACGGCTCTCAAAGGGTCTCAGAGTACTGGACATTCCCCTGTCCTCAGCAGAATCCTGGAGTGTAAGCCTATAGAATAGTGTCCTCTTGTAAATGTGAAAGCATTTTGGAGTATCCTATGTCCTAACCCCTCTCCTGTTTAAAGTTCTTCAAGCAATAAATCTCAAAAAGACATCCCCTAGAATGATTTATTGGATCTGGTGTGTATGGACTGGTGCGTGTGGGGAAAGGCAGCCTCCGCACTGTTTGGGAAGAGCTAGGTATTACCAGTGGCCCCCTGAGGGGTAGCATTACACTTCACACTGACAGCTAAGCCACAACTGTTTGCCCTGGGAAAGCTGATATAGGCCGGTAAAGCTCCTGAGATTCCCAATTCCTCACTTACTGTGATGAGCAGCCTCACTGACTGATATGAAAGATCAGGAGGTAGGAGGAACAGGATCATGCTTTTATAGCAAGGCAAGATTTGAGTATAACTTTAGCATACGGGAGGACTGGTCTGGCAGGCATTTGACTGTTAGGCCAGTACTAACAAGATACATTGGGAAAGGGGTCCTGAGTGGACATACAGTACATCACCATTTAGACATCAATCACTCAAAATCAATGATGATGTGTAGTGTCTGCAGGCATCACATAGCTTTCTACTCCCTATTTAGACCTGCAACCATGGAGTCTTCCAGCAACAATGTCCTAGCAGAATGCCTAAAATTATATGCAGCTGATGCTGGATCATAATAAAGCCTGTCCTTTAGAAACTCTAATATGTTATTATACCTACCAGTCACTGTGGCACCATGACATATTACATCCATGCAAGAAATCTGTCTCTACCTTAAAAATGTTAGTGTTTGCCCCCAGGCCAAAGATTGCCAAACCATCGGCTGCCAAAGATTGAAACCATCGCCTGCCAGTGCTGATCAGTGTGTTTTGGCGGGAGGTGGGATGGTGGTCCCCCTTTCAGAACACAAGCTCAGCAGAGGAGCTTGCCACATTAACATAGCATAGTTAGTAAGGTGACCTCCTGCTGGGTTGAATGAAAAAAAAAAAAAAAAAACGTTACATGTGTACCCAGCATAAGTCAGCCTTTCTCAACCTCTTTATCCCCAAAGAATCCTTGAAATTGTTTTAAGAATTAGAAAAGAATTAGAAATAGTTCATCAAAGGGCAAACAAATTAATAAATATAATTAATAAATCAAGGTAGATGAAGGACCTCAGCTAATCACTCTGGAGAAGAGGTATTTAAGAGAGGATATGATTACAATGTACAAATATATTAACAGTGACTTCAGGAACTGTAGTAAACTATTTCCTCTAAGGTCCCTGAAGGGGACATGCAGCCAACATTTGAGATGAAAAGAAAGGAGGTTTAAACTTAGATTGAGAAAGGGTTTCTTTACTGTTTTCCCTCCCCAGGATATGGTATTAACTGACAGTATCAACAACTTCAAAAGCATTTAGATGTCTTCCTCAGGAATGGATTATACAGGGCTTTGGGAATTGTTGGAGGATAAAAATCACACACAAATGAGTTGTACTGGATGGACCTGTGCCTTTTTTCAACCTTATAAACTATGTAACTACATAATAATGGTTATACATATAACACAGACTCTCTTACAGAATTTGCTAGTGGAGCATCACCTTCTTAAATTGGTGGTCGATGAGAAGAATGCCACCCTTGCAGACAGCTAGAAAGATCACTGGTGGCATGCCATTTACTCTGTAAAGTGATTTTGGCCCCCGGAACTATTGGATAGGAGGTCAGTCTACATTTGGCCAAGGAACCCTTAACAATCTCTGTAGAAACCTTAGGGTTCAATGGAGCTCTGTTTGAGGGTGGCTGCTCTAGGTGGTCTGAGTTTGTGAGAGGTTACTGTACCTGCAGCATTGCCCAAAAGAGGTCCAGGCTCTTGGCTTTTTGTCTAGCAGGGGAGCTTGGTTCACAAGAGTGGCCAAACCCTTTGACATATTAAACAGTTCCTTTTCATGTATTTCAGGTGTGTATTTAGCTGGCTACCTAGAGATCAGCTTCAAAATTGCTTATTTATTTCACTGTGCTGCATCAAACAAATCAATGCCTTGTTTAATGAGTTGATAAATTGAACATCCTATTTTCTATCCCGACCAGACTTTACTGACACAATGACTATCGCTGATCCAGTTACTTTATTACTATCCATCATTCTCTGTGTGCTTCTGGCCATTGCCTTATTTGGATGGAAAAAAAGTACCCCCAACTTTCCTCCTGGACCCACACCTTTACCGATCATTGGAAACATGCACATCCTGGACTCGGAACAGCCATATAAAACCATGCATGAGGTAATGTTGACTTACACAGAAGATGCAGAAGCAATGGACAGGTAGAATCCTTGCGTAGCAAACATATGCAGATAACTGGACACCCCTGGTCCAATGACATGTTGTGTTTCCAATAGGGATGAGAGGATTGAGTTTGGCAAAATTAATTTTGCCATGAGATGACAGTTTTGAACATTGTCCTATACTTTTGAAGTATAGCAATGAAAAAAAAGACTTGCTTTTAAGAAACCTTCCCATGTTTCTTTGCCGGCAAGGTGTGTTGGGGTGCAATTTATTGATGATAGGCACCCCACTGCCAATCGTGCATTAATATGTCTTGGACAAACTTATTTACACGCAGCCATTGCAGGTAATGATAAAATAGAAATTCAAGAAAAATAGACATATTCAATTAATATTAGGACCTGGTTCACACCTATGTGTTGCAATTTGCTGCAGGAAAACCTCTGGCCCTATCCAAAGCTGCAGCGGCAGAAAAACACATAGATGTGAACGTGTCCCATAGGAAACCATGTTCAATGTAGTGAGTCTCTGCAAAATGCAAAAAGCACTAAAAAAAATGCAGAGGTGTGAACCAGGGCTAAACTCATTAAAAATGTTTTGCAATATGTATTTTTGTTAATTTATTTTTTGTAAACGTCTTTCAAACTCAAGGAGCTTTGGAACAATTTTTGTCTCTAAGTTTTACCTGACAGCCGAAGGTTGATGGTATCAAAACACACCAGTTAGAGTGTTTTAAAGTCTATCTAAACCCAGGAGAAAAAGTGTAATATATTTCAGCTTACCGACCCTATATTTTGCCTCCTAATGGGTGGGCAGGGGGGTAAAGAATTAGTGTAGTGTTGTCAGCTTTGTCTAGGGATGGTGCCATAAGATGGTTCTATCCAGGGGTGGACTGACCATTTGGAAACTCGGGCACTGCCTGAGGGCCCAGGGTCAGTAGGGGGCCCCATGAGATGCTCCGGTACCTTTTTCATAAACTTTTTTGAGTTTGGGCAAGGACACAGGAGCCCCATGATCCCCTATTGCCCGGGGGCCCCATGAGTTGTCAGTCCGCCCCTGGTTCTATCCATACTTTAAAGCTAAGCTAGAGAATATCCCAATGTTATACAAATGGGGGTGTTCTGTAGTCTTAACACACTTCCTATTCAAGAGTGAAAGTAATGCTTCTTCATTACTAAACTACAATAATTGAGTGTTGTCACTGTAGTACAGAGAGTGTGTTATTGGAAGAATCACAAGGTGAAAATTAAAGAAAAAATCCTGCATAATGAAAATTGATGGAACCATCAGATCTCAGTACCGGTAAACTGCAACAGATTACATTTAAGTTTTTGTGTTTGGATATACTTTAACTATTGCACAAGACAACTCATGTAAACAAGCTGTTTTTGGCTTGTAAAAGCATCAGATGAAACCAATCTTGGTTTCATCTGATACTTTGGAGGCCAGAAGAGGAATATGGGGTCTAACAGACCTCAGATCTCTCCAAAAAAAAGAACCTGTCATGGCCCATGCCACTACAATAATTGAGTGTTGTCACTGTAGTACTTCCTCAGCTCTGTCCCTGTGCTGTGTGAAGAGGGTGTGTCCCTTCCCTCCTATCAGGGCTCAGCGCTCTCCTCACTGAGCTCTGCAGTGTGTAACTTCAGTTCTCCGCCCCTGTTTTCTGAAATTTCAGACAAGCTGTATACATTTTCTACTTTGAACTGATATACTGTAGAGAAGAGAGGGCTAAAGATAAACAGGTACAACTTATGTAGGAAGATTTGTTTCATCTCTGTGTATCATCTGAGGCTAGTCATTTCAATGGGCATATGTAAGGGTTAACTATTTTAATAGACATGTTGTATAGTGCCAATATGGGGTAGACTGACACAGCTAGGGGAGAGCTACACATTCTGGTCTGGCCACTGATCAGCACTATGCAATAAAAACGATGGAGATGGGTTCTGGTCTTCCCTTTCTGTACTAAAAAAAGTTAATATTTTTGAAAGTTTTGCTTTTTGTAGAGTTCCCATCACTACTCGTTTAGTAAAACACTGCCAGCAAGACATAAAGTGAGTTGAAAACTCTCAAACAGAGTTCTAAATAATAGTAAAATCCCAACAGAGGTTCTAACCCTTTCCCACTTTTTCCTTGACATACCTTCATCCAGTGCCTATCAATGCTGCTAAATGTGGTCTTCAATGTCTCCAGAAAGGGGATAAAAAGCTGTCATGTAATATATTGTTACTAATTATATCTGGTTCAATTGCAGCTCTCTAAAAAGTATGGTCCAGTATACAGTATCAAGATAGGGAGAGGAAACAATGGTGATCCTTTGTGGATATGAGACAATAAAAGATGCTTTGGTGAATTATGCTGATGAGTTTTCTGGGAGGCCGATAATACCACTCTTCCAAGAAATAACCAAAGGACACGGTAACATGAACCTTTCATAGTTTTCTTTACTTTAACTTTCTTTATATGGGATGCATAGGTTACATTTCATTAGTCAATTATCTCTCTACAATACTATTAAAGTACAGCAGCTTACCAGTCTTTAGATCTAGTGGCTGCATTAGTCTTTCTTTATGCAAAAGCAGAAAATAGATAACTGATACAAGAAATCCTGGGCTTTTCTAATAAAATATTATATGCCATCAATTATGATGTTTTAAGTGAATATAGGAAAACCTATTAAATAATGAAGTTATATAAATAAGAGGTTATACTGATTATAAAAAATGCTACTAAGAAATTAAAAAAACTCTATAATCATGTTAAAAATTACTATAATAGGGCCCTTTTCACACGGGTGAACTCTAATTGATCAGCAGGGTATCTGTCCACTGATCCCTTGCTGATCGGAGCAGAACAGGCAGATGACAGGTCCTTGTCTGCTCAGTGCATGCAGGGCGGACCCGGACAAAGCCCGCTCTGCTCTATGGGTGGCCGGGAGTAAATGGACTCCGCTGTCCATTTACACCTGACTGCCCTCCGATCCACCTAGACCAGGGGTAGGCAACCTGTGGCTCTTTGGCTGTTGTGGAACTACATTTCCCATGAGGCATTGCAAAGAATACAAAACTGACAGTTACAGCTATGATTTGCAGAGACATGATGGAACTTGTAGTCCTGCGGCTCTCAGGTTGCCTACCCCTAACCTAGACAAAATCACCCAAATAGCCCTGATCAAAAGTTTACATACCCTGGAATATTTGGCCTTGGTGCAGACACAAAAGGTGACACACAGGTTCAATGGCAATTAAAGATTAATTTCCCACATCTACAGCTTTTTACATTGCAGTTAGTGTCTGTGTATAGTCAATGAGTTTGTTAGCTCTCACATGGATGCACTGAGTAGGCTAGATACTGAGCCATGGGGAGCAGAAACGTACTGTCAGAAGACCTGCGTGACAAGGTAATTAAACTTTTTAAAGATGGAAACGGATACAAGAAGCTATCCAAAGCCTTGAAAATGTCAATCAGTCCTGTTCAATCAAGTGGAAAATTTGAGGATCTCTTGGTACCAAGCTAAGGTCAGGTAGACCAAAAAAAAGCCACAATTAACAGAAGAATTGTTCGAGATACAAAGAAAAACCCACAGGTAACCTCAGGAGAAATACAGGCTGTTCTGAAAAAAAGAACATGTGATTCTTTCAAGGAGTACAATACAATGGTACTTGAACAAAAATGATCCAAAAGGTCGAGTTGCCACAAAGAAGCCTTGAGGTGTGTCAAGGTGCTGTCAGGCATATTGTAATGTGGCTTTTTTGTAGTATTGGTACAGTAAAGGCTTATTTCTTGCAACTGGACCATGCGGCTCATTTTCATTTAAGTATCATCATATTGTGCTCATTGAAACAACCACAACGTCTTTTTGTTCACAATAGGGACTTATTTATTTTTCAGTGGTGGGCCATGCATTTTACACCTAGGCCTTCAATGATGTCCTACCTGAATTAATTCAGTAATTTTTGGTTGTAACCTTAAAAATGCAGCACAGAAAAAAGCAGGGCCTGGATTAGCCAGGGTTGATTGTATCAAAAATATTTAAATAAAATTCAATGTACTCATCACAACCACTGATTATTTGCACATAAAATCCATCCTCCTTTCTTTCCTTAGGAAGAGTTCAATTACTCAGGTTATCTCAGTAATTACAGGTTATCTGTGCATTTCAGTTTCAACAATAAGATCTTTTCTTTCGCCATGAAGGCTAATGTTGAAAGTCAAGTCTGTCAAGTTGTATTTCTGGTATAAGTTTTTGTTTTCGCCTGCTAGATGGCTTCTGTGTGCCAACTCAAAATCTAATTGGTTAAAGCAACAGTTTCATTGCCATTTATGATAAGCTACAGGAGCCAACATCATTGATTCTGAAGGCCTCAAAGCAGATTTCTTTGACCCTCGCAACACATGATGGTTATCATGGCTGAAATGCGATTGGATAAAAGCCCTAACATAAACACACACTACTGGAAGCAGTAAAATGAAGAGAATAGACTATTGGGAATAATTTAATACACAATATAATAAAATATCACTCAGTGATTCTGATAGTTTAGGCAGTGTTTAGGCCAGCACTGGTATTTATACATGGTGGTTATACCCCCCTTTACTTTCCTTATCTCCAGGAAATTTAGTTTATTTCATTTGTTCTTTGTATCTAAGGAATAGGTAGCAGGCTGCAGTGAGGGAATTTTGTTCTTTGTGTGAAAGCAAAAGTCTCTGCATATCGGTCTGGCATTCCCCCTCTTCAGCTCATCTCTAGTGGTTACAAGATAGGGGGGGTATATTGGACAAAAATAATGTAATGGCTATGATTGGCTATCACAGCGATCACATGTTTGGAGCCCATTCCAATTATAAGCAGTGACCAGGAGCTATCAGTGACAGCTTGGTTATTGTGCTGGGGAAGCTTAGAGCGTGTGCACCCAAAACAGAACAATGGACCCACATGTACTATAGCCCAGCATTAAAGCACATATCCATGGTACTGCATATATGTGTGAGGCCGGCATGAAGAGCTGAAACACCTGTAAGCAGTAAGACATTTTAGTTTAGGATTATTAATCACAATAAATGATTCTGCATGCTTTCTATTTTAACTCTAAATGGCCATAGGGCTCTTTCACATGGGTGATCGGATGGTCCACACATTCCTATGGACCATGGAGTGTAAACAGACTTGTAACCATTTACACCAGCCTACCTCTGAGTCTGTACAGGCTCGCTACAAAAAATGGAGGAGGACTGCATCCTCTTTAGTTTGGGTGGACCCAATCGGAGTCAGCCGAGTGTAAACAGACAAAGCAGAGTGGGTTCTGTCCATGTCCGCTCTGCTGAAACTGAGTGGACACAGACCTGTCATCCACCCCACTGTGCTCCGATCAACATGGGATCTGTGAGTGGATCCCCTGCTAATCAGAATGAAAACCACCCATGTGAAACGTCCCTTAGAAGAATTATTGTTCCAAATAATCCACATTATATGCAACGCTTTAAAGCTTTACAGAAGATGACATTTACATGGCTCTGATGTGCAGCCTTTTGCCTTAGTCTAGCAGCATCTACATCTCTTTGCTTGGTGTGGGGTTGTATTAAGATGGAATTGGGCTTGTTGGCTGTTGTCTTATCTATAGCACAATAAAATTTATGTGATGCTAATGGGGTACTGTGAATCCGTTGGCGTACATCAACACCTGCAGCATTTTGAGCAATGTAGTGCACCACAACAAGCTCTATATGGATTGGGTGTACTGTAGTGCAAACGGAAGCTACTGCATAGTATGCGTGTGAAGAAGTACCATTCTAAATATATGGCACAGCCAGGGCGGACTGACAACTCATGGGGCCCCCGGGCAATAGGGGATCATGGGACCCCTGTGTCCTTGCTCAAACTCAAAAAAGCCTATGAAAAAGGTACCAGGGGCATCTCATGGGGCCCCCTACTGAACCCGGGCCCTCGGACAGTGCCCGAGTTTCTGAATGGTCAGTCCGCCCCTGGGCACAGCAATGATAACATGCATCAAAACACATGTTTTATCATATGGTACTGCACTACAAAAAGTCCCTGCTTAGATTTCTCAGTAGCAGAGGTGTAGTTGGCATTGTAGCCCTAGGCTTATGGTAGCTGACAATTTAGGGAACGACAGATAGAAATATATAATTTTCCTTCATTGGGTTATTACATTACTGTATTACAAGAGGTCAGCTGGTATTAGATAATATTTCCTGGGGTCACTTAGCATGCATAATATTTATCACTTGTCGGTGGATTTACAAAATCTTACCTTTTTTCAGGCATGACTTTTTCCAGCGGTGAAAACTGGAGAGTGATGAGAAGATTCACCATTTCATCTCTAAAAGATTTCGGAATGGGGAGGAAGACAATTGAAGACAGGATTCTGGAAGAATGTGATTGTTTGGTGAAAGAGATCAAATCATTCAAAGGTCTTTCTTCTCAAATGTTTTTATGATTAGAAATTATATTCCACTAACATGTACTGTAAGTCATTCATCTCATAGATTTAGTTCAGCTTTCTGTTTCAATGTTTGTAAAAGCATTTTTAAAGGGTATAACACGCCAAGGTCTGTCCACGCAGGGGCGACATCAATCAGGCTTACACGATACAATGTGTACATAAACGTGTAACAAAACAATGAACAATGTACCAGGGCCTGGGAGGGCCCAGTGGATGAGATGGAAATCAAATTACACAAACAGCAACGCATCATCCCCTAGAGGACAGCAGTCCTTAACATGTAAAAAGAAGAATGTAGTGAGCGCCAGGGGAGAAGTTGCATCAGTTGCTAGCACATAAGTGACGTGGAAAAAAAATGATATATGACATAAAAAAAGGCGACTTGCATAAGCAAATAATCAGTGCATAATTATCAATGTAATATTCGCATCAATCTCTATGTATAGTGTCCAGAAATTGTAAATAAACGTGACCTCAAGTGGTGGGTGAATCCATGACAATTCTTCCTCCTAATGCACTCACCAGAAGCACAAAAAAAATGTGCATTCAAAATAGAAACTCCTCCAGCAGGTAAGCCTTATCCACCGCCAGCAAAGGTATATGGTGTGCACCGATTGAATTCAGTAGAAACAGTTGGTTCCCCCAAAAAGTGGCTCAATCTTCAGAAGCAAAATGGCCCAACCTGTAAAGAATAGAGACCAGTGGCTGAAAATTTCAAGCTAGGCACAGTTCTTGGTAAAAGAGGAATCGAGCTGTCCATATCACAAGACAGAGTCCATATCGAGGTCACAAGACAGAGTCCATATCGGGGTCACAAGACAGAGTCCATATCGGGGTCACAAGACAGAGTCCGCTGGGGGTCACAAGACACAGTCCGCATCGGGGTCACAAGACACAGTCCGCATCGGGGTCACAAGCCAAGATCAGTGATAAGCAGCAATAGAGAAATCAAAGAACAGCTGACAGGATTGTGTGAGAGGTCATTCAATTCTGCCAGCTGCTTTTTGGACTCTCTATTGCTGCTTATCACTGATCTTGGCTTGTGACCCCGATGCGGACTCTGTCTTGTGATATGGAGAGCTTGGTTCCTCTTTCACCAAGAACTGTGCCTAGCCTGAAGTTTCCATTCACTGGTCTCCACTCTATACACGTTGGGCCATTTTGCTTCTGAAGATGTCGGCATCGTCATGACAATGCTGGACAGCGTGATTGACGATGGAACCATTTTTTTGGCTTTTTTCTTTTTAAATAAAGGACTTTTTACACGTTTTTTGATTAATGGATAGGTACCGGGATCTGGGGCCCCCATGTTAAAGGGGGCTTCCAGATTCCGATGAGTCACCCGCAGACCCCCACAACCATAGACCAGGGCTGTGGGGAATAGGCCCTTGTCCCCATCAACATGGGGGCAAGGTGCTTTTTGGGGGAGCCCCCCTACCCCAAGGCATTCCCCCATGTTGAGGGCATGTGGCCTGGTGCAGTTCAGGAGGGGGGGGGCGCTTGCTCAGGCCAGGCCTGTGCTCAGATTAAGGCTCTGCTAGGAATTTTAGGGGGGACCCTAAGCTTTTTACCCCCCATTTTTGGGGGGAGGGTTCCCATTAAAAGTCCCTAAAAGACCTGGAATGGCTTTTAGGGGGAACCACACGAACGTTTCCCCCCCACACTTTGGAGGTGGAGTTGCCTTTTAAAACTCCATATCAGGCCCTCTTAGAGGGAACCACACACACTTTAAAAAAATATATATTTTACTGTGGGGTCCCTCATAACCTTCCTACCAGACCTGAAGGGTTTGGTATGAATTGGGGAGGATAGTGGTCATGCAGTTTTTTTTCTAATAAAAAGGTAATTTCAGATAATTTAAGGGGACCCCCAGGCATGATTTTTAAAGGATTTTTTCTATCTCTTTTTCCTTTAACCTCCCGGGGTCTGGGCCTTGATGCTGAGCAGCCACACATTTGCGTGCAATTAAGAAAAACATATGTGCTGAGAGCGTGCACCCTGCACACTCCCAGCACACATGTCCGGTACTCACGGAAACTTTTCCCGATCATGTGACCACCATGACAGCGAATTACAGCGGTCACATGACCCTAAACAACGCCCCTCCTCCTGGCTTCTGAAACCCTTAAAGGGCCGGGAGGCGCCAAGGGGTTAAGCAATGAAAAGTTACTGTCCCATTAAGAATGGGACAGTAACTTTTTGAAATAGTTTTTCCCTGATTCATGTCCTGTAGGGCAGTGCCCGAGTCCCCATACCCCTTTTACAGGCAGTAACTTGTATATAAGCCTTCAAAATGGGCACTTTTGAATCTACAAGTTTTGGGTCCTATAGACTTGCATTAAATTTGAAGTTTGTGGTTGAACTTTCGTTAAGTTTGAATGTTCGACCGTGATCAGGGGGTGTTCAGCCCATCACTAAAGACATGGTTTGATGAGTTTGGTGCGGACTAATTCAAGTGCTCTGCACAGGTGGACAGGGGAATCTTCCCGCTGGGCTGTTGCATTCTGACTTCCTTGCCATCAGAATACACTGATCAGCACTACCAGCTATAGCTGACAGCGCTGATCGAGCGCCAAAAACCCGACAGGCTGGTTGTACAGAAGTCGTTCGGTAGATCAACTTTGTAAAATCTTAGTGCCCATACAGGGATTGAAATTCTGCTGGTCCATGATGAACCAGGCAAATTTTGATCCATGTTTGGCTGGCTTTAGAAAGTCACATGTGAACCAGATCTTCTCAACCACCTAGAACAGCTACCATCTACTTCACAAATGATTCTGCCGCCTCACTGAAAAGTGGCAGTGATAATTTGGAAAGTAAGTAAGCTGTGCACATACTGTATCTGCAGGTTCTTCGTCAGAGGTCTGCATAGGAGGTATTTAAATGTGTGTTTGTGACCTAACACAAATACACATATATAAATATCTCATACATCAGTTTCTTTTTTTACGTACACACATAGTGGGCCTCATATGCACGTACTATTATAATTCATGTTTGACTGTTTGTTGCCCATGTATTATGCCAATTAGGTATTTGTTGCCCAAATATTATATGAGTTTGTGGCTTATTGTATGTATTGTCAGGTTTGCCACTTTTTGCCTATGCATTGTCAAGTTAGTGCTTTTTAGAAAATCATATTACTATTATTTAATCCCCTGCATGTCTGTTACTGCCAAACCCCACTGCTGCTATCTTCATGTCTCATTGGCATGCTTTATGTGTCTACTAAACCCTTGTATTTAAAGTTTACTTTGTTACGGCAACAGTTATATATTCTGTTTCAAATACCAATATACTGTATGCAATAACATACCTCCCTAGTCGCAGTTTGTGTGGACAGTATGGCCATTTACTGACGTGGCAGAATCAGAATCTCAGCAGCTCATCTTTTCAATAGGATGCAGAACTTGAATCCAACACAATTTTTTTCAGTCTTTTGAAGAAGACAACGGGGTTACTAAAACTACAGAGTGAAAAATCTGCTGTAGCTGTGTATGGTAGCCAATCAGCTTCTAACTTCAGCTTGTTCAATTAAACTTTCACAAAAAAATAAAAAAAACTGGAAGCTGATTGGATTCTGTGCGCCATATTTTGCAGTCTCCAGCTTTAGTAAATCAACCCCAATGACTTTCTGACATAGAGAGAGGAGGGGGCGCAATCTAAGTGTAAATGAAAACATATTTATTGTCATAAGAGACAATTGGCAACTTACACAAACAGGTAAAAGACATCACTCATCAATAATTTAAGGCCTCGGGTGGTAATCTTCAGCATAGCAGGACACCTTGGTACAAGCGAGCATACGAGGTAGGCTGGAGGGTAACCTGTACAGCCAAGAAGACACACCAGGGGTTACAGGCAGCATTAGGTACATGTAAATTAGTAACTCACATGGTAGAAAAAACATTTTTTTTTTTTTATCATCACAATCAGCAGCTGGATCTGGCATGTGGGGCATGGAGTCTCTTCTGTGATTTCCATCACAGGCTGTAACTTGTTGATGAGCAATTTGTTTTAACTGTTAGCATAAGTTGCCAATTGTCTTTCACTTCAAAAAATATGTTTTATATTACACTTAGATTGCACCCTCTCCTCTTTTTATCTGTTCACTCAGAGCCACTTAAGTCTCTAAGGAGGTGTTTCAGTTTCCTCCTGAGACCAGCAATAAGTCGCCCAAGATGTTCCAACTGAATTTATGGACTTTTTGCTGAACTCATATTATCATCAATATACACACACACAATAATTATTGCTCCATATACCCCGTGGGCGTCCCTAGGGTTGGTGTTACCAGGTGTGGTAAAACTTGGTGACACCCCCTCCAACGATCCCTGCAGAATGGATCGGATCTGCGGATTGAGCATAATGGATCGAAGTCCGATCCATTATCCTCCCCAATCCACAGATCCGATCCATCGTGCAGGGATCCTCGACTTGCAACCTATATGGGGTTAACTGATCTCTCCAAAAAAAAGGTAAGTTTTAAAGCAAGCCGATGATCCCCTCAGGATGACTCAGATCTGAGGATTGGGGAGCATAAAGGATCGAACTCCGATCTATTATGATCAATCTGCAGTTCCGATCCTTCCTGCTGGGATCGTCTGCTTGCTTTAAAGCTTACCTTTTCTTGGAGAGATCAGTTAACCCCGTATAGTTTGCAAGTCGACAATCCGTGCAGGATGGATCAGATCTGCGGATTGGGGAGGATAATGGATCGTACTTCGATCCATTATGCTCAATCTGCAGATCCGATCCATCCTGCGGGGATCGTCGGCTTGCTTTAAAACTTACCTTTTCATGGAGCGGGTCCAGTGTCACCCCATGTAATAGGTGTCATCTGGTGCGGCGTGCACCCCCTGCACCTGCCTGGGGACGCCCCTGATATACCCCCATTTCTATCAATGACTTTCTAAGCCCTGCCTCTGCAATACACTGAAACTAATTAAAGAAACACAAGAAAAGCAGGGAGGGTATAGTTAGGATCGTACCAACTAGCATAAATCAAGAGGGGAAACAAAAGAGAGGGTACCAAATGCACATGATAACAAGTTGTAGTGGCACAGCACTAGATGTTAACAGGGGCGGACTGACCATTTGGAAACCCCTGGTACCTTTTTCATAGGCTTTTTTGAGGTTGGGCAAGGACACAGGGGCCCCATGATCCCCTATTGCCCGGGGGCCCCATGAGTTGTCAGTCTGCCCCTGGATGTTAACATACATCAGAACATAAAGCAATAAAAGAAAAATACATAATAGATGGAACACAACATATGCTACATTGAGAGGAGACTATTTTTACAATATTTTTTTTTTCTGGCTATTATTAGTATTTTTTATTATTTCATAATTACTGAAAATATTCTTGATGTCTAGAGGAACGGGTGTTTCTAAAAATAATCTGCGTAGGTGTAATGTACACTAGATATGTTTTTCAGCTTTCTGCTTTTCTATGCTGTTGAGCAGGCTGCCTCCACCTGGAGATGCTTCTATCAGTAGAACTTGGGAAAGACATTTATTGTGATTTTTTTCAGGTTCTGATACACCTACATTTCTCAGTCTGAAAAAGCATTGGGGTAGATTTACTAAAACTGGAGCACTCAGAATCTGGTGCAGCTGTGCATCAGCTTCTAAGGTCAGCTTGTTCAGCCATGCTTTGGCAAAAAAAACCCTGGAAGCTGATTGGTTTCTATGGGGAATTGCACCAAATGTTGCACTCTCCAGCTTTGGTAATTAACCCCATTTGTGTTTTAGGTTTGCATCATGCTAAAGAAAGCAGAACAGTTTTATCAAAGATAGTAGCTGGGCAGTTGCCAATTGGATTTCTGAGTGGGTAGCTAAGTTCATTAGTAGTAGGGACAGGAGTGCCTGCTCAAAGGTTTATCTGAAAGTTGAACACTTTCCATTTTTTAAGAGAAAAATCGCATATATGTTACGGAATTTCATTTCAGTAATATCCATTTTCTTTGTCTCCTAATTGTAGGAGAACCATTTGATCACACCATGACTATGAATGCTGCGGTGGCCAACATTATTGTTTCCATATTGTTGAGCCATCGATTTGACTATGAAGATTCAACATATCTGAGGCTTTTGAATATATATATGGAAAATATCCAAATCCTTGGCAGTCCAGCAGCTATGGTAAGCAACTAAATTCCGTTCTTGATATAGACCATTCTGGGACCTACAGAAGTAACCAAGAAGGTCTACACTAAATTCAGTAGGCAGCTTTAGTTTTACGATACAGCTTGATGTTTGTTCAGTTTCCTTTATCAGAAGGACAAGTAGCTAATTATATAAGTTAAATAAGATCAATGAGCTGTTTTACCTACCAAAGAATTAATATTTCTGTCCTTCCAGTTTCAAAATGTACACAGCTCTTCCACACATTGCAGCCCTGCCTGGCAGTGAAGGGGACTTTATCTTTCTCTGCTGCAGTTTCAGTTTCACTTACAGATTTCCTCTCCACTCCCACCCTGTGGACAGTGAAAGAAAAGGAAACTCAATAATTGGCTCATCTCACTGTCATGCCCAGGGGCGGACTGACCATTTGGAAACTTGGGCACTGCCCTAGGGCCCGGGGTCAGTAGGGGGCCCCATGAGATGCCCCTGGTACCTTTTTCATAGGCTTTTTTGAGTTTGGGCAAGGACACAGGGGCCCCATGATCGCCTATTGCCCGGGGGCCCCATGAGTTGTCAGTCCGCCCCTGGTCATGCCCCTTTTCTCTGCTGCACTTACTGTAAATCAAACTTACAGGTCTCACTCTTCACCAACATATGACTCTACAGAAGTGGTCTCCAATATGTGGCCTGGGGTACAGAGGAGGCACTTTGCTTGTGGCTGTTTGGGCACTTTTCCTCCCAATGATGCAAGACACTTTTCCTTTTACTGACACCAACAATGGGGCATCAGTCCTGTTACTGACATCAACATCAGGACACTATTCCTTCCACTAACACCAACAATGGGACACCATTTCTCCCACTGATATCAACAATGGGACACCATTCCTCCCACTGACACCAACAATAGAATATCATTCCTCTCACTGACACCAACAATGAGGCAATATTCCTTCCACTGGCACCAACAGTGGACACTATTCCTCCCACTGACACCAATGATGGATCATTATTCCTTCCCCTAATGCCAAAGATACACTCTTTACTCCCACTGATGCCAGAAACATTTCTACTCCCAATGGCCATAGTCCAGCCCCCCTAAAGTCTGAAGGACTGTAAAAATGCCCTTTGTTTAGTGAGCTTGGTGACCCCTGCTCTACAGTAAAAGCAGAAGCAGCATACTAATGAGCTTATCTCTCTGTCACTCCATCTTCCTCTTATCAACATGCTTATTACATGCTTAGCACATGAGCGCTGCAGTACAGCTGCTTGGCTCCTTGTGATGCCTCTTCCTCCCCCAATTTGAGCTCTGCTGTACAAGTACTGCAAGATGCCAGTGCAAAGTCAAATTCAGTTACTCACACTGCTTGCATTTCTAAATGTCTTTATTTTGAAACTGAACTGGCATATAATATATCTCAAATTTAGTCCATTAATTTGTTCATTAATTATATTTTAGCATACAGTATATTTTATGCTCTTGTTCCTCTGTTTTGGCAGCTGTATAATGCATTTCCATCGATATTACGTTGGTTGCCTGGAACACACAGGACAGTCATGCAAAACCAAAAAGAAATGCATGCATACATTAGGGAGACCTTTACCACACATAAGATGGAACTGGATGTCAATGACCAGAGGAACCTGGTTGATGCATTCTTGGTGAAACAGCAAGAGGTAAGGCGACACTTTGGGAAACTGATTAAGAGAAGTAATTACGTTAAAAAAATGATTGCAGGTAAAACTGCCTATATAAATGATTTTTTGCTTGACTACATCTTTAAAATTAAAAAAAAGTCATTCCGAGGTTGTATGAAAAGAAATTTAAAGTACTGCTAAAGTCTAAACATTTTTTACAATAATGTATTCTCTGCATTATGGTAAAAAAAATGCCCCAGTACCTGTCCTACCCACCCCCATCCCTAAACACTTTCCTGGATCCATGTCACCAACAGCAGCTCCAGTGCTGCTCCCCTTATGTTCCTCACTTCCAAAGCCTTGGGCTCCTGCTGTCATCAGTCAATTGTTTGTGAGGAGGATGTGGGGGTATGGCGTACTAGCGCTTTGTGTGTCCATGGGCACACACAGATTGGAGTGGGACCCAATGAGAACAGGCACATAAGGATGCTTTCATAACACCACATTTAGGCAGGTGGTAGGGTAGGTTCCCCTTTAAGGTTCCTCTTTCTCCTGAAAGAAGACTGGAAGACTAGGCAGGACCTAGGAGGGAGGTGGTTGAGACTTAAAAGGAAGAGAAAGGAGCAACATCTGTCTGCTGGCTCTTGCTCTCCTCTCTCCTGGGGAAGGACAGAGTGTCCTGGGGTTTCCCATCCTAACCCCAATAGAGAAAGAGAGAACCTTGGAAGCTGGTATACCCCTCTGTTCTTCCCATCCTTAACCCAGGAAGATCATCATGTCAACAGGAAGTGAGTGCCTTTCTGCAGGGACACAAGCAGCAACCAGTAGGACCTGCGACCAAGGGTCCATTTACTGTTGGAACTGTGTTTGGGGTTTGAGACCCATTGAAGCCATGTGATTGATTGATGCTTTCAAGTAAAAAACATTAACCACATTCAGCTTGGCGGTGTCTTTATTCAGTTACTCTGTCAGGCAAGGTCTTGAATTGCCCAGAAGGTCAGTTTTACATTGGGGGGGTCAGCTTTGCTGCTCGCTGCAACCACCCGCAAGACAGCCCTCCACCTGCCAACAAGCTATGTACTGGAGGCACCCAAAGGAGGGGAGCTACCTACAGCACTGGCAGGGACTGCTACGAGAGAAGAAAAGTAACATATTTGAGCAACATTGTTGGACAGAGCAGATACCGTAAGTGTTATTTTTTTTAATGTTTAACTTAAAGATTACTTTAACTTCCAACTATGAAATAGGTTCTTAAAGCACAGCTCCCGACAAAAGCTAAAAAAATAAAATGTCCGCAGCTACAAAAACTGTAGCTGCTGACTTTAAAAAACAGCCACTCACTTCTCCCACAATCCAGCAGTTTACTCACCACAGCCAGTTTCACAAGCCGTCCTTGCTCTCCAGTGCCAGTTTTTTTAATGTGGGCACCCGGCTATGACAGCTTGTGGCTTCGCAGCTGGGTGCCCACAGTGCATGCACAAGTAGCACTGCGCCTTGTGAATGGTTTCGCAGTCTTCTGGGACCTATCACGTGTCCCAGAAGACAACGGGGAGGGAAGACAATTTCCACTTCTGATCACGTAGGCCAGGGGTCTCCAAACTGTGGCCTGAGGGCCAGGTATGGCCCCTTTGCTACCCTTTATCTGGCCCTTGGGGCACTATTCCTCCCACTGAGACCAACAATGGGGTAGTATGTCTTCCCATAAAACCAATGATGGTGTACTATTCTTCCCACTAATACCAATGATGGGGTGCTACTCCTTCTCCTACTGACCAACAACGCTGAGGCCATGTTTATTCTCACTGATGCTGGGGCCAGGACATTTTCTATCCTTACTGGCCCTAATTCGGCTCTTCTAAAGTCTGAAGGACAGTAAATTGGACCTTTTTTGAAAAGTTTGGAGACCCCTGGCCTAGGCTATCGCAGTGGAAGTGGGAGCGGGTACCTGTCAAAATCGGGCACTCCCTAAGGGTGCCAATTCCTCATGGGGAGCGGGGGCCAATAATTAAAGCAGAACTTTCCCTTTTGGGTGGAACTCCACTTTAACTGACAATCAACACTCAAAGTGGTTATATAAACAAATAATAAGTGAATATTGCATGCAGAACACAGTTATAAAAACAGATATAGTATCAGTATTCAATGTATAAAGCTACATCACTTTTTAATATTTAACCAATAAAGTGTTAAGACCAAAATGTGTTCAAGTATTATCCTCCAAAATGTTCTGTGCTAATTTACATACATGAAACAAAAAACAAATGTATTTTTCGGTTCGTAGTTTAAAAAAAACCCCAAAAATAATTATCTAATTATTAAAGTGGCGAAGTGTTCAATACTGCAAATTGAGCCAGGGAAAATAATGTAATTTCATAAATGTGTATAAATAAATGAAAACATTAATCAAGTGTCTATGATGTATCTATAAAAACATTTTTTTTTCAAATAACATACAATAAACTCCAATAAAGTGCTTATGAAATAAGCTCCAAACGTGCTCATTCCACATTTCTCCTATAAGCCACTACAGACAGTTGGATGAGCCAATGATTGACTTGTGTGAGATTGGCTAGCAGCTTTTTGGAGTCTTCATAAAGGTTGAAGTCAGAGAAGAAGGGCAGAACTTAAAAATGCCCAATTCTGGGACAAAGGCTAACAAGATTAGGAGATTAACAATGGTCTTGTCTTGCAGGAGAAACCCAATGAAAAATTATTTTTCACCAATGAAAACCTGACAATGCTTGTGACAGATCTCTTTTCTGCTGGAATGGAGACCACCTCAACTACACTTCGCTGGGGAATTCTACTGATGATGAAATACCCAGATATCCAAAGTAAGATAGGAGCTGGACTTTTGTATGGTCTATTTGAAATGCCTTTCAACTGTGTGGTCAGTATAACATATAGCTGAAGACAGTTTTTAATTTATTGTTTATATTTTGTATGCCTGAGTCATATTTTATGAAACATGATAATGTTTCACATACTGGCTTGTAAAAACTAGAGTGAACAGCCTGTCTGTATGTCAGACAGTGCAACCAGTATCGTTACTGAAAGTGAGAAATTATTTTAGAAGAGCCCAATAGTTTGTCCCAGGTTCTCTTCCCAATTTGATGTAGAAGCAGTCAAGCATTCAGCAGTGCAGACAGTCTCACAGCTCAATGATCACACGTAAGGTGTCTTTTTATGGTGTAAGATACTCCAGAACACAGTGCAAAAAAAAAAATAATCAGAGAACACTGTTTGCTTTGTCTACATTTATTAAGATAGTACCAATAGCACTGGAGCAACTGCTCAAAGAGATAGTAGCAATGGACAGTCACTAGGATTCTACACCGAGCCCTGTACTCACAATATCCCCAGATACTTGGATGCTTCTTCCAATATCAGCCAGACACTTCTACCATGCATTTCCAGATCAGATCCTCAGTGAAGTCCTTTGATTTGACTATTTTGATGTTTTGCAGAAAATAGGCCCCTCAGCTCCCACTGAGCTGGGAACCTCAATGAACTCCTGCAACTTCAGCCCTTCAAGCTGGGGTCTTCTCCCTCTGGAAAAGAACCCTGCTGCTCCAGGCCCCATATTTAGCCATGTACTGGGCATTCCTTCCCACAGGGGTTCGCTAGGGCACATAAATATTCAGGCCAAGTGTCTGACTCTTCCAACCCACTGCATTCTAGAATCCACCAGAAAACAGGCAGAAGCAGTTCAGCCTGCAGTCAGTGATACTCATAAAATTAAAAAAACAAATCACACAGCACTCCAATAATTACAGAGGAGCTAAATAACTAGATTTACTGGAACCTCTCTAGCAACTTACTTTAAGAGGGTGCTACATTATATATATACAAGGGGCATTAAAGTCAAACCAGGACTTTTGAGTTTATATAATAAAAGAACAAATTTCAAACAAATTAAAATAACTCCCCTGCTACATTTATACACTTATCCCAGCATTTAACCAGGGATGGACTGACAACTCATGGGTCAATAGGGGATCATGGGACCCCTGTGTCCTTGCCCAAACTCAAAAATGCCTATGAAAAAGGTACCAGGGGCATCTCATGGGGCCCCCTACTGACCCAGGCCCTCGGGCAGTGCCCGAGTTTCCAAATGGTCAGTCCACCCCTGCATTTAACTAATGCCTGGAAAGTTTCAGCATAGAAAGATTTATCAGTATGCCTGAATTATCCTAGGACAGTCTGCTTCACTTCATCATCTGAGGAACTCTTTTAGGTGTCCAAAGAGGTGGAAATCACTTGGAGCAAGGTCCGGCTGTAAAGAAGATGTAGCAATACCCCCCAGCCGAGTTGCTGTAATGTGCATGTAGTGCGGTGATGAGCTTAGTATGTGCATTGTCCTGGAGAAACAAGACACTGTTAGTGATCAAACCAGGCCCTTTTTTTTGCAGAGATGTATGCACGTCACTCAGGACAGGATAGTAATATCCACTGTTGATAGTGGCACCACGGAGTAGAAAATCTACATGAATAACACCACGTTTGTCTGAAAACACTTGCCAACACTTTACCTGCCGACGCAATTCTTCTAATGTTTTTTGGTGGTGGTGAGTCTGCACTCTTCCTTGCTTTGATGCTCATTTTTATTCTGGAGTGAAATGATGTGCCCAAGTTTCGTCACATGTAATGATGCGGTCCAGGAAATCATGGCCTTCTCTGTCAAAATGCTCCTTCAACTCTTTTTGAAGTCTTCTGTAGATATCTGAGGGCTTTACGCCTTCGTTCACAAGAAACTTCATCACCACACGCTTTTCGATGCATGCAAGCTTGGGTCTATTATCTTGATTAATGGCCTCTGGACTAGCCATCGATATGTGCACCGCCTAAGTAATGGGACACACTTGCCACCTACTACTGCTTGTAGTTCCACTACATTAGCATCCCATTTTAAACCTGTAAAATTAAAAGTTTTGGTTTGACTTGATTGCCCCTTGCACTTTTAGTATAAAAAAAAATAATAAATATATTTTCCATTTTTTATATATGTGTTGCTTTCTGCCAGCAGTTGGAGCACCATGAAATAGCTCTTTCTCCCAGAGGCAACTGAACAACATGTGATTAGTGCTAGGCTATCTTCATGGATGACCATTGTAATAGATGGTTATATGTATAATAAAGATTCTATATAACATGTATGAAAAGCAGTTAAATTAAAAAAAAAGAAATGCAGTTGTTCCAACTCAGCTATATGTCTCAGCTTGTAAGTACAGTGAAAACATAGTCTAGTTTTATGTAGCAGCAAGATTTAAAGTAAAACCAAGAAAATTATAAACAGGGTCTCGCTCCACTAATGAAGGCGCTAATGAAGTCATGTGACCCGGAGGCGTAACAAGTAGGGGAGGGGCTCTGACATCACGACGCTTAAAGGCAACACACAGCAAGCATACTGCAGCTTTTAAAAGCACAGTGTGGATTCGCTTTACAATGTTTTAAAGCAATTTTAACTTACATTACATGTGAGTTCGCTACTTTATTTATTTAATAAATGTTTTAAAAAGAAGATAAGGCAGTATATTCTTTATTACTCTTCATGGCACTTATACCTATGGAGAAGAGTCCGAAGGAAGTGAGGAGACCTCCAATTGTGAAGATGGATATTTCCATCCATCTCTAAGTCCAATTAAAGGGACACAAGCCTTATATGACCTCACTTAACGGTTTGGTCATATATTCCAGGTGAGAGCACAGTTGGTGAAGGTGCACTCTTTTATGATTGGCGGATTGCATGCAAATCATCTTTTAGCACATCACTAGAAGGAATGTCAAAGTCACGGACTAATTAAGGATATTTTTTGCAGCAGAAGCGCGATTGCATTTTCACATAAAATTTACTGTTGGACTGTATTTCATCTATTTAATATTTTTTCACTCTTCATTGCAATTGTTAGTGTAAAGCGACACTGTTTATAATTTTCTTGGTTTCACTATGACACTATGAGTGTAGGCGGCCCACTAATTTCAATTTCATTTTACTTTAATTATATTCCAATTGTTTTTATTTAATGGAAATATTCACATTATTGATTTAACAAATTAAGAATATTCTTTACACCATAGTAGCTCACAAGACCCCATGTTTAAAGATTTAAAGTAAAAAAATTATTGTGACTGAACATTTTACTTTGATATTTTACTGGACCTTGCAACTTTAATTCTTGTATTGGAACCAGAAAAAGTCCAAAAAGAAATAGAAAAAGTGATTGGATCATCTTCGCCACAGGCAAGACACCGTAAAGACATGCCGTACACAGATGCTGTTATTCACGAGATTCAAAGATTCGGAAATATTGTCCCAACCAATGTCCCACATGCTACTACTCAAGACACCAACTTCCGAGGGTATTTCCTTCCAAAGGTAAGCAGCAAGTTAATACTGTGCCTTGTTATTTAAAGTATAACTAAAGGCATAACTTTTATTTTAGTTTTGGATAGAGTGGTGAGGGATTAGAAGAACATCTGTTTTTTTATTGCTGTTTGTGTCCCCATTAGGGACGTTCACCTTCTATCCTTGTCCTGTTTGCCATTATCATTGAAAGTGAAAGTGAAATAAGATCCTAAATTTTAGAGTGTCCACAGAAATGTAATAGGGGGAAATCTTCCAATGAGGACACTAGTTCTGGAGACCTGAGGGTCCCCAAAGAATTCCCTTCATTTGCAGGGATTGTCTCTTCTTTCCTTTCTAGGACAGGAAGTGAATGTACATCTCTACAATGGGACACAGATGGAAAAAATTAAACTGACAGGACTGACAATCGTACCTTACTTTATCCAAAAAAAAAGCCAGACCTAAAGTAGAACTATGGGCAAAACGTTTTTTTGGGATTGCGTAAGGGAGGGTTATAAACCCTGACAGTTTATTTTTTGCCACCTGTGTCCCATTGGAGAGATTTACCCTAATTTCCTGTCCGATAGCCAAAACAGGAAGTCAGAGGAAAAACATGCAAATCAAGGGAATTCTTTGGGGATCCTGAGGTCTCCAGAACTAGTGTCCACATTGGAAAATGTCCCCTTCTGGGGACAACCGGAAATGTGGAATTTTCTTTTACTTTCACTTTCGATGATAATGGTAAACAGGACAAACATAGAGGGTGAATTTCCCTAATGGCACACACAGCAATAGAAACCTGACAGTTGTTCTAATCCATCTCCACTCCATCAAAAACTAAAAATTAGAAACACTTTGCCTTATGTTGTACTTGTACCCCACTGATGAAGCATTAGTTTAAAAAACACATCATCATAATAATTTTACAAACTTATCAAGCTGTATTTTAATGTGATGTTTATTAAATGTTGCTCTTTTCTAAGGGCACACATGTGATTCCATTGCTGACATCTGTGATGTTCGATGAGGCTCACTTTGAAAAACCAGAAGAGTTTTTTCCTGAACATTTTCTGGATGCTAAAGGAAATTTTGTGAAGAAAGAAGCCTTCATCCCGTTTTCGGCTGGTGAGTTAAAAGTCACATGTGTGGTCCCAAGATATGATCCCAGTTTATGGGTTTGTAATTTATAAAAATGATCCACACAGAATGTTGAAATCTTACTCTATTGACCTTTTATTTTTTGTTTATTCAGATAGAAAGTAAAAGGGTTGAAGCCTCTGTTTGATGTAATTGCTGTCTGTGCTCCACTGAGGAGATTTTTCTTTTATCTGACTTATATATGAGTAGTATATTTATAGTTAGGAGTGTAATGCCATTTATGAAGGATCTTTTGGGCTGATTCCCATTGGGATATGCATTTAGATAATTTAAGGGAAATTGCAGGGACTCTTTACAATTTAGGAGAAGTCTACCCAATGCAAATACTGACAGCTGGCATAAGTTTGAACCTTGTTTTTGCCCTCATTGCGAAGACATCCCCTTATTTCCTATTCTGTATGACACCCAAAACATATAAAGCAACTAGGAGAAAAATCCCAGATTTTGACATAAATGATAATAAAAAGTTGGCTAGATCTGCTCTATTCTACAAAAACTAAAACAAAGTTTTGGTTGGAGTTGGGCTATATTATTATGTTGAGGACTGTATACTATCTTTAGTAAGTGTTTACATAGATTTCCATGCCTCACAGGTCTGCTTTAGGGAAGAAGGGTGAGACATGCAGTAGTGTATGAGATGGAGGGATAGCTAGGGAATGCTAACCTTGGGTTTATTCTGCCTCATGTTTTTTCTTTTGTTCTCTCAGGGTCTGTTAGGGAAATACAGAATATAAAATCAATAGAAAATTATTTTTCCCTATTTATTCCTAGATTTACACTAATTTCAGATTAATTTTTAATTAATATATTTTATATTTATTTACATCATCATATAATACATGTTCACCTTCTAAATCACTGTGTCTAAACTCCCTTTATATTCTGCCAGCAATTCATTCATATTTTGGAAAAGTCACCTGATGGGGTCATATATAAGCCAATATATCCAACCAAAACTTTATATATAGTTTTGGATAGAGTGGGGAAGGGTTCAATTTGGGGGTTTTTTTTATTGCTTCTATCATTATTAGGGAGAGTTTGACTCACTTCCATGCCAATTCAGACAACTTGATATATTTTTGTATTTAACAGGTAAAAGAAGCTGTGTTGGTGAAACACTGGGCAAAATGGAATTGTTTCTGTTCTTTGTAAGTCTTCTACAGAACTTCACTTTCCAGGCTCCTCCTGGAACTAAGTTGGACTTTAAAACAGCAGTTGGGTTCACACGAGGTCCTGTGAGTCATAAAATTTGTGCGTTACCCCGTGTATAATACGGGATCAGGACAATGTGAAAATGACTTTGTATTGATTTTGCTGATAATGTGAATGTATTCCAAAAAAAAAAAATATATCAATTGCAATATGGATATTAGCCTTAACTTGCCCCTTTAAGAATTAATGCTTTTCTTTTGGCAGATAATAGTGGCCCAGTGACAAATATATTATTGAGCCCCAATAATTCTGTAAAACACCAGTGCAGATTAGCTGATGTATTCAAAAGACCAAGTCAAACAATTATCTGTATTTTATACCTTAGTTACTGTTAACAGACACAGTAAATATAACATGACAGGCAATTAGATCTCAAATTACAACCTATTCTCAAATTTGTCTCAATTTTGGGAGTCATGAGGGCTGCTAATATATAGGGTGGTTTATTAACTAACCAGACATCCACAGGTTTTCTCAGCCTGTCCTGCATAAGATTCTTGGGAGTCAGTTAAAGAAGGGCTGTATTTGTGCCTGTCCCTGCTGTTGTACCACCATGACTGACATAAGTAATTAGTTTAGTAATAGACATTTTACCAAGAACTTAGTAAATGTGGTGAAATTTCACTTTGCAAAGAATAGCCAATGATAGCAAAGAAAATGTAAAAAGCAGAGAATCACCACATCCACTAAATTCCCTTGCAAATTGATCAGTCCATTTGGTCCTACAAGTTCACTGGACCTGTTTTTTTCTGGCTCAGACAGTCAAAAGTTCTATTTTTTAACTTTCACACATGTATGACTGTTATTTTAAGAGGAACCCCATAAACATTATTTGTACTGATTATGGACTTCTACTTTTTTACTTTAAAGCTCAACTTAATAAAAAAAATTCAGAATGTAAGTTCACGGTAACTCTTGAAGAAAAAGAAAAACATCTGCGATACTTACCTTCTCTCTGGTGCTACTCCTGACAGATTTACATTTTCACTGATTCAAGGCCATCAACGGTTTGCCCCCTGTCCTAAACAAATGCTGCAGAGAGTGGCAGGGTCACTCTCAAGGCAATCAGTTCTTCTGTTCCTTCTCAGAAGAAGGGCTGGCTGAACTAACTTGTGACTCTTTTGCCTCCCACTGCAGCTCTGCCAGTGTTCTCCCTCCAGCTGCACTGCAGGGGGATCGGTTTTACTATCTGCGCCCCCTTCCACCTGCTGTCAGGCACCCCTGTGTGCCCCCCTCCTCACAGAGCTACCAGCTTCCTTCTTCTCTTCTCCCATTGGCAGCTCTTCAGGGCACACAGGGAGATTGGTTTCAGGTTAGAGAGTGGTCTTTTCCTTTCCTGAATGAACACAGTGATTAATCAGTACCAACCACAGTGATTAAACAGTACCAATCACTCCTGTGTCCATTCATTACCAAAACATAGTAAACTGTGTTTATGCTTCAGTCTATAAATGAATAAGGAGCTTCAGAGCGCTTCCCAAATATTAATCTGTACAGCTGAGGCTGCAGAGAAAGGGACTGATGAATTTCTGAGACATCACAAAATGTGAGACATTGGGGTTTGTTTAGATCCATATTTTACCTCAGCCTCCCAACAGGGCAGTTAAAAAAAGTAGAAAAAGCTAATTAAATAAAAACTTAAATTCTAAAAATTTTTTTTTTTTAAAAAATAAAATAAAAATAAATAATACAAAAAGAAAAATGAAGGGCTCATCACATGTGCTTTGCTGTCTGAAGAGCAGTCAACATTTGGATTGCTCTTCAGAGAGCATTTTACAGGTGGTAAGACATATTGCCTCCTCACCACCTGCTTTAACCCCGTACTAATGCACTGCAAGTGCTTGCTTTGCATGCTGTTGTGAGGCACTTGCAGAGCAGTGCTATTCACTTGGATGGGTCCTGTTTGATGAGGGTATCTTTTCTGTGATGGCTGCAGAGCATAGCATCCCCCATGGCATTTGAATTTCAGGTAGGCTGCATGGGCCTAGTGATTTCTAATAGCAGTCCTGGAGAATGGCACCACATAATTATCCTCTACAGCTTTCATTCAAAATCTGCCTTCCTCCAGAGCAAGTAAAGTTCATAGAAGACGTGTCCAGATAGAAAACACCTTAAAAAAGGCATGAATATACTGTAGTTTCTAAAGTCAAAGTGTGCTCCATTTGGGAAGGGGGGAGGGCAAATGAAAAGGGCGATCTTGAGCACAGAATACTTTATTAAGCGCAAACTCTTATATTTTGGATAGAAAAAGTCCTTAAAAAACATATCTCATTAAATTTCCTTCGCACTTCCCAGTGTTAATGAGGAGGCGCAGGCTCAGCTCCATGCACAGATCGAAAGGGCTGCAAGGGCTGGGACAGTGATAATAATAGGGGATTTTAACTACTTTGACTTGACTGGAGTAATGGTACTGCTGCAGGAGCAGTTAAAGGGCAAACATTTTTAAACCTACTACAGGACAATTTTATGGTACAGTTCATAGAGGCCCCTACTAGGAATGATGCTCTGCTGGACCTGGTAATCTCAAACCATGAAGAGCTTATTACAAATGTCCATATAAAAGAACATCTGGGTAGCAGTGACCATAACATGATTTCATTTACTGTTAGCTGTAAACTTCAAGCACATACGGGTAAAATAAAAACGCTCAACTTTAAGAGAGCTAATTTTCCAAGGCTGAGAGCTGCTCTCCAAGACTTAGACTGGGAGGGAATATTGGCATCAATGAACACAGCACACAAATGGGAGTTCTTCAAAAAGACTGTATGTGAACACACTGCAAAATATATTCCCATGGGCAATAACTTTAAAAGGCTAAAAATCAAATCTATGTGGCTTACAGCCAAAGCTAAAAAAGCTATAGACGATAAGAAAAGAAATTTTTTTTTAAATATAAAAATGAACGAATGCTATCATCGTTTAAACATTGCAAAGAATATAACAGAAAATGCAAAAGGAAAATAAAGGCCACAAAATTTGAAAACAAACAACAGATTGCAAAAGGTAGCAGGAACAACCCCAAAATAGTCTTCAAATATATTAATAGTAAAATGGTCTGATCCGAGCATGTAGGCCCTTTACAAAATAATCTAGAGTGGGTGACTGGGGACAAAGAGAAGGCAAATTTTTTAAATACCTTCTTCAGCTCTGTGTATACAAAGGAGCATGGGGGAGCTTTTGTCCATAATGGGCATGGTATTGACACAGCTCCAGATGATCCACGTTGGCTCACAATTGATATGGTCCAAAAATATTTAGACAGAATAAAGGTGAATAAAGCACCTGGACTGGATGGCATACACCCATGGTTCCTTAAAGAATTGAGCTCTGTCATTTCAAAGCCATTGTTTCTAATTTTTAGGGACTCTTTAATGACTGGCATAGTACCGCTGGATTGGTGTAAGGCCAATGTGGTGCCAATATTTAAAAATGGGTCAAAATCTTTACCAAGTAATTATAGACCTGTTAGTTTAACTTCTGTAGTTGGGAAGATATTGGAGAGTTTTAATAAAAGACCACATAAATAAGTTCTTGCTGGAAAAAAATATTTTAAGCATGGATTCATTAAGGAAAGAAGTTGTCAAACAAATATGATTTCTTTTTATGAGGAGGTGGATAAAAACCTTGGACAGAGGGGTGGCGGTGGACGTGGTATACTTGGACAGAGGGGTGGCGGTGGACGTGGTATACTTGGACAGAGGGGTGGCGGTGGACGTGGTATACTTGGACAGAGGGGTGGCGGTGGACGTGGTATACTTGGACAGAGGAGTGGCGGTGGATGGTATACTTGGACAGAGGGGTGGCGGTGGACGTGGTATACTTGGATTTTGCAAAAGCGTTTTACACAGTGCTCCACACACGGCTAATGTGTAAGATAAAGTCTACAGGCTTTCCATATTTATATTGTAAAGCACTGCGCAAACTGTTGGCGCTATATATATCCTGTATAATAATATGTAAATGGTTAGAAAACTGGCTAACAGATCGTATTCAGAGAGTAGTGGTTAATGATTCATACTCTGAATGGTCTAGGGTTGTCAGTGGTGGACCCCAAGGTTCAGTGTTGGGATTATTACTTTTTAATATATTTATAAACAATATAGGGTCTGGGATTAAAAATACCATTTCAGTCTTTGCAGATGACATCAAGCTGTGCAATGGAATAACGTCCTTACAGGATGTCTCCAATTTACAAGCCGACCTCAATGCACTGTTTAATTTGGCAACTATGTGGCAAATGAGGTTTAATGTAGATAAATGTAAGGTTATGCACTTGGGGACTAAGAATATGCATGCATCATACATACTAGGGGGGTACAACTGGGGGAATCAATGGTGGAGAAGGATCTGGGGGTTCTGGTAGGTCACAAGCTTAATAATGGCATGCAATGCCAAGCTGCAGTTTCTAAATCGAGCAAAATCCTCTCTTGTATTAAAAGAGGTATAGACTCCAGAGAGAGAGATATCATATTACCCCGGTACAAATCATTAGTAAGACCCTCATCTGGAATATGCAGTTCAGTTTTGGGCACCAATTCACAAAAAGAACATTGAGGAACTTGAGAAAGTACAGAGAAGGGCAACCAAACTGATAAGAGGCATGGAGGAGCTCAGCTATGAGGAAAGATTAGAGGAATTTAATTTATTCTCTCTTGAGAAGAGGAGATTAAGGGGGGATATGATCAACATGTATAAATACATCAGTGGTTCATATAGTGAACTCGGTGTAGAGCTAATCACCCTGAGGTCATCACAGAGGACAAGGGGGCACTCTTTATGTCTGGAGGAAAAGAAATTTAATCTCCAAACACGGAAAGGTTTCTTCACAGTGAGAGCTGTGAAAATGTGGAATAGACTCCCTCAAGAGTTGGTTCTGGCCAGCTTAGTGGATTTCTTTAAAAAAGTCCTGGATTCTTTCTTAGATACACAATATAACTGGATACTAACATTTATAGGTAAAGTTGATCCAGAGAATATCCAATTGCCTCTCGGGGGATCAGGAAGGAATTTTTTTTCCTGCAGGAGCAAATTGGATAATGCTTTGCTGGGTTTTTTTGGC